GAAAGAGCAGTGACTGTCACAGCAAAAGGAACAACGTAACACATGCTTTGAATCATTAGGAAGTGAATGACCCAAACCTGCAACTTGGACCAGGCTGTGTGGCTTGGGGAGGAGTCTCTGGCTCCTTTCTGGTTCCTCGCCTTCCTACACTGCCCAGCAGCAGCTGGAGCTCGGTGGGAAAGGCAGCCTTGGGCCTGTGGCCACACCTAGGCAGGGCTGTGAACCTGCACTGAGGCCCTGCATACGGCACAGCAGGATTTAGGGAACCACCAAGGTGACAGGGAGGTGGGACGAGGAGCCCCAGGTGGGAACTGCAGGCTTAGGGGTTAGAGGTGAGTTTTCCTAGAGCCTGGAGTACAAGGAAAATTTTGGGGGTAGAGTAGAGAATAAGGCTTGTTACAATTGTAGGGAGAGGAAGATGCTGGAAGGTGGGATGCCAGGTTTGGGCCAAGCCTGAGTGTGAAGGGCTCTGTACATGTGGGTGGGTGTTCTGAGGAAACACAGGAAGAGGCCCCAAACAACCATGGAAGAGAAGAGGGAGAGGCCTGATTAAAAGCACATGAGAAGGGCTGAGCTAGGGCATAGTTTGGCTAGGAATGGGGGGAGGTGGAGGGTGGGGTGCGTTGTTCATTATTAAACTGGGCCACAGAGAATGACCAGAAAGGAAAATGTGCTTTATCTCTTGGATTCTGGAGCTCTTGGATGTCCTAAGACAAGGAACAGCAGAAAATAGAAGGTTGGCAAGACAGAGTGATCCATGTTAACCTTTGTGCATGCAAATAAGTAACAAACTTGGGGAAACACTAATTAGGTTTGAAAACTGATGTCAGTGTGAGGCTTTTGTAACCCAGTGACTGTTCTGAGAAGCTGAAGATGATACTGTTAACCAGAAAGGTCCTTTGCTCCTTGTCTTGTTTAAATGGGCATTGTTACATTAACATCTACATTTCTTATGCTAAATTACTTTCTGACATGTAATTCTTCCAGCCCTCCTCTTTGTGCTTATTTTCTGTCAAAAATCCTTACAAAATCCTTGGCTTCAAGCAGCACACAAAACTCCCCAGCCTTGTTTCAGCCAGGAAATGCAGCACTCGCTGTTGTCTGCCCATGGTGAATTTCACTTCCCCAGCATGAGAAGTCCTAAAGCTCCATCTCAGTTCTTCAGTCCCACTGCCACACACAGTTTGCAGTGCTGCAGATCCTGTTAGTTCTGGGGTTTATCATAAAGGCCCTGTGTGGTGGCTTTTTACCAAGAGGCAAAGCTATAAAGTTGTTTGTTGTTGCTTTCTCAAGTAGCAGATGATTCTTGTTTGCATGATCGACCCTCATGTGCCTAAGTTCTCTTTTTAGAAGATGTATATAACTGGCTTACTCCTCTTCCTTCAAAATTCAGATTATCTTATACTTTGCTTTAATTAATTAATCACATAGTCATGCTTGTTTCTGTTTATTGCTGTTTCTTATGCTGTAGCACATGCTGGGTTCTTTCTAAAAACACAGCTATGGACACTCTCCCAGGTAAAGATTGCTGTTTGCTCAGCTCACACCTGAGCAAATGGGTCTGAATTAGGGAGCTTTGCAGTGTAACTGCCAGGCCAAAGTCTTGTGTTTTCTCTTGTCAGTGGGCAAGTGTCTCTGGTCTCGCCTAAAAGGCTGCCGGTTTCCATCTGCTCCAAGTTTATTCCAGGGAAAGGCTGGCTTGAGACTGACATTGATTGTAGATTCAGCTTCAGGTGTGTCTTGGATTTTCCTCCAGCCCAAGGTCAAGAGCAGAGGGGTGCTTATGGACATGGTGGAAAGTCAGTGCCATGTAATGCAGTCTGTAATGGCTGTGTAATATAGTGTTCAAGGCCAGGTCAGATGGGGCTTTGAGCAGCCTGGTCTGGCGGAAGGTGTCCCTACTGTGGCAGGGGCTTGGAACTAGATGAGCTTTAAGGTCCCTTCCAACACAAACCATTCTATGATTCTCTGTGAGCATTGTGGAAAGAGGTGCCACAGAACTCCTTGAGGTTAGCCCTGTATTGAACATGGTGTATTCCCTTATGGATCTGGCAGCGAGCTACTCCTGTATGATCTCTGTGTGGCAAAGAAGTACTATTTTAACCTATAAATTAAGGAGCATTGAGCAATGGAGCATGCAGACTCCTGGTGTAGCTATCTCTATGTTCACAGCAGGTGCAACAAACTGCCTTGCTAACAAGAGAGGGCAGACATTACTTTTTCCATGTCCTGCTGCAGTCACCTTTTCATTATCTGGATGACACCTGTGCTAAAGCGCTGTCACCTGAGTCCATTGTGGGACAGGCACAGGGAAAACAAACACACTTACCAGCTGACATAAACTAGATTTACACTTGCATCATCCGAATACTGAAACAGCAGCAGACCCAAGCTACCTCCATGTGTCCTTCTGGCCTCATGTGCACTGAACAAACATGCAACCAAAACCACCTTGCACTACAGAGGCAAGGGGCCTCTGAGCAGACAATCTGCTTCCTTCTCAGAGAAGGGGGAGGTAGAAGCACTTAGGTGCTGCTTCCCTGTTCTCCCTCAGTAATTAAGCAGCTGTTTTTAATCCTTTGCTTGATTTTGCTGTAAAGTGCACTCACAGGTGGCTTCTGTTGCCAACAGTGACAAACAGCAATACAATTAGCAGTGCATTACTAACATGAGCATGTTTTATTTTCCTTCACAGGTGACTGTGCTGGTCCTTTTTGCCCTCGCATTCTTAACGTGTGTTGTATTTCTGGTAGTCTACAAGGTTTACAAGTATGACCATACCTGTCCAGAAGGATTTGTTTTCAAGGTAAATTGCATCCATGTTCTAGAAATATAGGAGAGCATGTCATAGTCTCTGTGTTGTTTTCTATATAACCTTGATCTGTATTGCTGTATTGCATAGCAACTTGTGGTTGTTTACAGAGGTTACTGTGGTTCCTGCTGTTTCTTTCTGCTTAATTTATAATTGAGGTTGTACTACTGCATAATTTTCCTAACACTGTTATTTTGCTGATGCTTTCAACATTGAAAATACAGCAGAAGTCCCAGCACTAGTGTCCTTCAAACCTGCTTCACCTGCAGTTGTCTGGACAAAGCCCTCACTTACTGGGTCATATGAGTTAATTTTGCTGTTCCTCTAAATTCATGTGTCTTAGGAAAGAAGAGAATGATAAAACTTGGAGGGGGGAGAAAGAATCACTCTGGAATATGTGTCAAAAACCCAGTAGAGTGATGTTCTCATTAGAAGCAGCAGACTGACTTCAGGGTTATTTTTGTAGAAAGAACTTGTTCTAGAACAGTGACCTCAGAGCCCTACTGCCACGGGCCAAAAGGGATGCCAAAAAAAGGGAAAACACATTTATCAGAGAAAACCTCTGGTTCTAACCAAGAGGGAGGCTGCAGAGCACTTCATTTGTGCAAGATATGAGTGCTGGCTCCTCAGCTGTGACTGGGCCTGAAAGTCAGCAAGGTAACATTGATTTCTCCATTGTAAATTCAGCAGGGTTGAGCTTGGCTGTAATTAGACAGAAAAGTAGCAGTGATGATGGCATCCTTCCCTCTAATTTGTTAAGAATACTTAGGCATGTAATGAATCAAATGGGTACCTTGTGTCTTCAGAAGGACTTAAGGAGGAATGGCTGCCTCAGCACCCTTGATGATCCTGTTTAGGATTTTTGATTCTATCCGTTCAGGCATATAAATATCTTACAAGAATCTAGTCCAGAATTATAATCAGTGATGCCCTGCTCTATTAACTCAGCTCCACGCATTCAGTTTTAGGTTACTGCTTTGCCTTGGATCAAGGGTAAAAGATACTGTGGTGAGAATATTTGGAGGTAACTCGGGAGATGCAGTGCTTGGTTTTGCTGTTGTTTTCTTGTGTTGTCTCAGACAAGCACTGAAACCCCTCTGTGCTCATGTCTCGTGGGACTATAGCCTTTTTTTTCTAAGCTTTCTCTGGGCTTTCAGCAGTTTGGAATACGGACTGTATGTTCCTACTGAGCCTGTTCTGATGTGATCCTGACTTGACAGGAATGGCCAGTTACTTATTCCTGTCATAACAGCCTGCTACTTCTGGTTGCTTTCATACTATGTTGTCCCTTCCTTGAGTTGCAGCCTTTTGGCTTCTTTTCTCTCTACTTCCCAGTGTTACAAATACTTAACAAGAGAACAGTTCCTTAGCTCTATTTCGGTTGCACTGGGAACAGTCTGGTGGGGTTTCTGTCCTTAGGGCCCTGTGTTACGGGTTAGGCAGAGGGTCCCATAGCTCATGCTCTGTGTTTAAGGTGCAGCACATACACAGGGCTGTGCTACTGTTACTCTCCCAGTGTCTGATTTTTGAAGGCTGATTCCTAGCTGCAGGATGGCATAATGCAAGGACACCCAGCATCTTTGGTCACGTAACTCTTAAGTAAGTCTTACAGGATAAACACGTTAGCAAATGACACAAGGCCTGAAACTACCAGTGTTGACATGAACTTGTATTCGTTGCCTTTGCAATTTTTTTTCTGGGAGAGTCTGTAGTGTGTTATGTCAGAGCTTGGCACAGACGTCCTAAGAGACATGAAGATGACATCTGTCACCTTGCGACCCATGTCTCTGTGGACCGGCTTTATGCTTCATGTGGACTCGGGAACATTCTCCATCTTAGATGTCCTCAGGCTTTGGATGCTGATGTGATTTCCAGGGTAAGGGCAGAGGTGTCCCCCTGCCTCAGGAAGCCTGGTGCCATGGGAATCTCTGCATAAAGGCTGATGTACGGTAGCTCTGAGTCAGACTTGTTCTCTGCCTTGATGCTGTCATACCTGGAGCATTTCCAAAGGTTTCAGTGTTTTCAACCTTCCTGCTGCCCTGTACATCCAGGGCTTGAAGGTGTGTTTAGAAAGGTGCTCATCTTCCTTTGTATAGCAAAGTCAAACTGCTCGAGCTTCCACTCTGTGCTTGCTCAAGCTTTCTGACGCAGCCCTAGTACTGCTGTGGGGTAGATCACTCATTCCTCTGATGTGATATTCACTGGCTCTTGGTGACTCACCTGAGTTTTCCTCAAACACCTGAGTGCACTTACATCCTGGCGGAGTTTCTGCAGGGCTTCAGCATGCTCCAGACTACAGCTGTTACCCTTTAGCTTTCATTGCCAAGGCACCTGCATTCTGTCAGACTCATGGCCAGTACAGCAAAGTAATTTCAGTGCATTAAAGACAACACCATCAAGTCTGGAATTACTGACCCAGCAAAGTTAATGTGGCAGAAGATACTATTTATAAGTGAATACCACTGGAGTCTTCATGTCAAAGGAACAAAAGGAGTTATCATAACACAGCCAGACACAGAGTGGGTTTTCTCAAAGGCCTTAACCCATAACTAATTTCTGAAATAGAAGGGTTGTGAAAGAAACAAGAGACTGGCAGCTCACCCTGGAGCATCTCAGTTTCTCCTCAAGGCTTTCCTTACTACTCCTCTTACCTGGGAACCATGGAAACAAAAAGGATGGAGAGATGTTCTGTGTAAGCTGAAGGTATCAGACAAGCAGCAGGATGAGTGTTGGTCCCAGTTGCCGTTGCTCAGTCACTCCCAGTGCTGTGTGGCTTGCCTTGGTTGGGAGTGAAGCAGAGGGGCTGTCCTTGAGCAGGGCACAAGGAGCACTGAGCAGAAGGGAGCTGTTTCCCATCTTTTCTAGAAGCATTAAATCCCAGGAGCAAAAATGCAGTCAGGACGGCAACTGCTGTGTGCTTCTTTGGGCTCTTCGGTCAGATGTTGTGTGTGTTTGTGAATACAGAAATCCGCTTACTGAGTCATTTAGCCTGTTACATAGCAAAGTGCTTCTAAAAGCAACACAAGATTCTGTGGCATTCTTTTAGACTGGCAGTAATCTTGGCTTGTCTTCAGCACCAATAATTATATTTGCTTGAATTTCCTTGGCAGATTTTATTAGGTCAATGGATTGATCAATTTTAAATATTTACAATTGTGACTGCATCCCATAACTGGGCGAAATAATCACTACAAAGATGGTTTGTACTACTACCTACTTAGTCATTTTATCACATCAGAGTAGTGTCAGCTCTCCCAGATAAAGCATGGATAATACTTCCAGAAGACAGCATGGTTGATGAAGGGGAACATTCATCTCAAGTAACTCTACTCCAGATTCCTGGATTATATTACTTAAATCTATGTCCCAGTCTGGCAGCTGGCATATACAGTGGTTATGGCCACAGGGACTCAAACAGTGCTGAATAGGCACAGGTGTCTGCTCAGCCAGGGTGAAATCCTGCCTGCTCTGTAGTGCTGCTTCCAACAAAACCCTGAGGGAGGATTTGCCCTTGTGCTTCCTTATCAAAAGATACCAGATAAACTGAAGCTGGGTGGATGTGGTGGTAACCTGGAGCACTGTTGCAAGTCTGACATGCATCAAGGCTTCTGTCACAGGAGCAGGTTGGCACTGAGGAGGTGTAACTTGTGGGAGGGCTGTCAGTCGCGTGGCAGCGACTGCTTGCAGCAGTCACGTGTATTCATCAGGGCAGGCAGGTTCATTGCTTGCAGGCCTCCTGTTTTGGCAAGTCTTCCTTTCTTTCTTTCATACCTTTTGATACTCTGTTCACTAACATCTTTGGGATTCAAAATTTATGTTAAGGCACAATTTTGTGCTTTATGATTTAAACCATTTCAAACTGTTTCAACTGGCGCTTATTTATGCTCTTTTGGTTTTCTGACAAGGGCTAGAGTCAACCCAAAAGTAAATGTGGACACACTGAGATAGATAGCACCTGGTCCTAAATCCTTTGACAATCTTGCATGTGTGTTTGTCCTCAGAAATCTCCAACATTAAGTTCCATTTGCCAAGTTGCAGCAGTTCACAGTAGCTGTGCTACTATAAAACTATAAATTTAGTTTGCCAGTGCAGGAAGCAGGAAGACCAAACACCACGTTTCTTTATAAAACAGTCAGAGTAGAAATGGTTAAACTTAGTTTTCTTCAAGCTGCAGCTACTCATAGTTTGTATCTTGGAAGGCCCATTCAGCACATGGAGGTATCAGGCCAGGCAGCCTGGACTGGCAGATGTGGCAGGGGACCTGCAGAGAGACCCATCACTGTCTGTAGCAAGACCTGGGGCGGGTGTCATAGGATATGCCCAAGTCATTTTTTACCTTCAGTGCAAGTAGCTGCTGTGTAGGCTTTTACTGCATCATCCCCTAACAGCAGCTTGATGATACCTGCTGACTAATGCACTGCACTCCCTTTGGTTTTGAAGATGACAGCAAAGTTTGGATCCTACTCTCTAAATCACATCTTTCGCTTTCAAAAGCTCTGAGCATCCAGCAGTTCCTATTCAGTGCCCTTACACTTCTGGGAAATCACATAATGCAGTCCCATGGCTAAAGATAGCTTTTTAAAAGCCTGCTGCTGGCTACATCTTTGACAATAAGGGTGAAGTATTTTGTATGTGTGTACACACTTGCACATCAGTTCGGCTACTCCCTATGTTTTCCCTGTATGTCTTTCTTACAGGGCTATAAAACTGTGTACCTTGGCACCAATATATCTGTATTAATTTCTGTCCCTTAGACTGAAAACACTGTATAAAAGTGCCTGAAGCTAATCCAAGGGTAGGATACAGACAGCTATAATTGTAGAGCAAACACTTGGAACTAGGTGAGGAGGAAAAAAACATCCCAAAATATGGCTGGAACTGGAGATTCAGTACTTTTAAAATCAAGTTCAGGCAAGCACGTTTCTTGTGTGTTAATGGTTCTGGCACATAAGCCTGTGTTGGTCTTGCTGGCAAATGCACGAGTTGTTTAAGGGTTGTGGGGAAGAACATTTTGAACACAGTAGGACAACACTAGTTAATTGCTTTATGTTGCATCTTGACTCACAGAAAGTAAATGCTGGCTTAGACTAAAAGGGAAAGAGGAACCAAACCAGACCTGACTGAATCACGTTCAGTGTGTGAACGGGGCTGTATCTGTAATCTAAGTGATGGATTTTCCTTTCAGAATAATCAATGCATTCCAGCTGGGTTGGAAAACTACTACTCTGAACAAGACTCCAGTGCTCGAGGGAAGTTTTACACAGTCATAAACCACTACAATCTGGCCAAGCAAACCATCACGCGCTCGGTGTCCCCGTGGATGACAGTACTGTCAGAGGAGAAACTATCGGAACAGGAGACTGAAGCCGCGGAGAAATCGGCTTAGTATGATCCACTAATTAGTAACACTATGTCATTTGAAGGTAACTAAGGGACTTTAAGGAACTTTTCATTAAATATAATTATGGATAATTTAGAGGTTACTCATGTTTATGGTGCAATTGCTTCTGTTTGCTGATACTGCTTTGCAAAAACAAAAAAAACCAAAAACTTGCTGCAGAACATTCATGGGCGTAAGACAAGGTGCCTATCAATCAGCATCGCTTTAGAGCTTTGACACCATTTTCAATGTTAACAAACCCCCAATGTTAGGTATGTTCTTGCAGTTCATTGGATACTGGCAGATTTTGTCACTGGATTTCCAGGGCTTGGACCTTAGATAAATCACGTGTTCTGTTCTCTGAACTGATCCTTTATTTATGAATTTTTTTATTCTCTGTCATTTTGCAAACTGAAACACCCCAGCCATAACCAGAGTGATCTCTTCTTCAGCTCAAAGCTGTATCTAATACTTAGTTTTGGCTCAAGTGAGAATGAGAGTCAGCATTGATGTCAAGGGCATAATGTAATGACTTGTATGGAGAAAAGAAAGTGTCAGGTAGCATTTTTCTTACATTTTTCTCTACTGTTGTTTCTTTGTAAGTGATGATGAAGTTCTCCGCAACAAGGCATGCTCAATGTTTTATTATTGCTGTCGACAGGATTTAACTGCATTTCCACTGTGGCTTTAGCAGCTTGGTACGGATGTGCACTGAAACACAAACTAGGTAGATGTCATGGAAAACACAGATGGTTTTAGTGATGGATGTTGAGGATAGTGTAAAATAGAGGCTGACCTGATGTCCTAATGAGAAATGACATCTTTTCATCACAGTTCAGAGGCAGAAAGCCTATGCACAGTACATGTAGCCCGCCATGTAATTTGTTGGATGCAGCTGAGGGAGTAATATGTCTAAATTTTCTCTCTTATTATATAAACATTTTCCCTTTCTATGGATTGGAAAGAGCTCTCAGTTTATGTATGGTTTGCAGTGTGATACTTTTTAAACCACAAAGCATCACAAGTGAAGCTAGCAAATCGAGTACCACAAGTAGGTCTTTTAAAGCTACATGTGAAAGAGAGTGAAGAGTAGAAGTGTTTACGGATGGCTTGGGAGGGGAAAAGACGTAGAAGAACATAGTATTGTGGATGCACGCAGAAGTTCCATTGTAATTACAGACTTATCTATTCTTTGTGTGAAACCATGTTTTCATTTTTATTATAAATCTTAAATATATATTACAAAAAAAGACATCTTATTAATTTAAGAGTTAGACAAAATAAGTGTGTGAAGCATCTGGGCAAGCCAGTCACCTTTCTGTTCATGTCACGTGAATGGGACAAGGGGGAGTGGAGATGTCAAAAGTTCCTTTTTGGGAGAGACTACATCAAAAGGAAGGGTAAAACCTCAGTATGGGCTGTTTCTCAAGATCTGGTCAGCTCTACTTTTATTTTTCTCCAGTAGAATTGCTTTATCAACCACCTTTCTTACTGATACCATTAAAATAACCATTATTACTTCATTCTCTAGGTTTGATATGAAATGTGCATTACACACCAGATGTGTAAAAAGCTTTTTATTAAGTCATCAAAAGCAATAAATTATGTGCCAAATTTTTCTTTGAATTTAAAAACTTCAGTCTAATGTTAAGAAATTCAAAACACATTTTACAATGTCTGCATTTTACAATAGGCAGATGCTGGATCAAATTTCATTAATTCATGTGTAACTTTTGACATTTTCACTCTGCAAAGTAAGGAATAAGGGTGCTGCTGCTTGTTGTGTATAACGTCTAGAAATACACATTTCAGGAGAGAGAGAGCAAACCACACCTTTCGTATCAACGTATTTAGAGGCCATTCAGATTCTACAAGATAGAAAGATCTGTTTCCCAGCACCATCCTACATCAAAGTGATTACTGAGACATCTTATCCCCCCACTTAAATTTAGTACAATAAAAACTTTAATGCACAAGTAAATACTGATGAGAAACAACTTATTTCTCTCTCTGATAACAGTAAACGTTAAAAAACGCTCAGCTTTACAATCTAGGAGAAAGAGACTGCTTATGCTTTGTGAAGTCTAACCTATTTTCCCTCTGCTTTAACAGGAGAGAGTTTATTGATTCTTGTCTACAGTTGGTTTGGGACCTTTTTTTATCTTGGTTAACAAATCGCTGCCAAGTTTAGTACTTTGAATTGTTTTGCTTTAATGTTGGCTCCTTGGGCTTTGTTCCAATACCCCAGCACATCTGTTTCACTGCACAATCTGTTTGTGTTGTATTCTCTCTTTTTGCCTAGAAGTAAAGCTCTTTAGTTGATTTCTTACCATTATTATTACTATTAAATCAGCCTGCTCTCTGACTCGAGTAGTTTCAGAGGATGGGAAGTTGAGGTCATACATGTGCGAAGTAATCACTATGTACTGCAGTGGTGTGATTAAATAAAAGCCTGAGACAGCGTAGATGCTTTTGCACAGTACCAGTTTTCTCTTGCTCTGGTCTGCACACGGGGAGCTGGACTCCAACCATCACAGATGTGGGGGTGATTATGATAAAACCAGCATCGTTTTATTTTCTCTTCTTAGCTGTGCTCCAGCTTGCAGCTTTCTTATCAGCTCCTTCAAAGGTTTCTGTGTTCTTTGCAGGATTAAGTGTGGTTTAATGTTCGATAAAGGGATTTAAAATGAATGCTGTCAGCTCCCTCTGCACTAATGGATATATACATGTTTATTTACTGGAAAATAGTCCCACCATAGCAGTACGAAAACCTGCATAGAACAGGCAGGTGTGTGCCATGTACCCTGTTCTGCTGAAGCCAAAGAGCTATAAACAAAGCATGGAGACAGCGTTGTATTTTCAATTATCATACCAGTCCAGGAAAAGCAAGGAAAATGAACACATCACAAGGAAGAATAGAATCCATACTCGAAATCCAGCATTGTTTTTGATGGCCTGTGAGGAAAAGGTTCTCTGTTACCATCACCAGTAAACACACAGCGGCATTTCAGCAGTGGCAACCCAGGATGCCTGTTAGTGGCTTCCTTCTTCTCACCCACAAGAGAAAGAGCAGAGCTCGCCATCAGTTTCAGGTGAATGAGTCAGGTTGGCTGCACCTCTTCAGATTTGTCACATTGAACTTTATGTCAAAAACTTAAAGTAGGTCATTTTGAGTGGAACTCAAAGCATTAAGAACTACATCAAAACGTACACGCTAAAACGGTAGTTTTAAGTTCCAAAAGTGAAAGTCTGTGGTGAGACATAATCAGGCCTCCACCAATCTAATGAACAGCACCTGCCTAAAAACACTAAACCCAACACCAAACCCAAACCCCAGAAAAACCCCAAACCCAACAACAGTTTCTGGAGTTGGTTTAGCACCATCAGTCATGGATTTTGGTCTCAGAGCAAGTATTTCTTTTGGCTTCTCCATCCCAACATTGAGTCTAGCACAGAACAGGGACCTGACTTTCATTTTTCAGATTTACACATGGGATTGATTTTTTTTTTTTATGCAACACAAACACTAATGTAAATGACAAAGTTTTGTATTTATCACCTTTCTCTATTGTTCCTCAGTGTGGTTTAGGAAACTTAGTTCTACCTACAAATGTGAAAAATGAGGCAAAGGTAACTGCATGCCACAGTTGATGCTCTTCTCAGGAGAGCTGAGCAGGAGATTACACACAGAATATGTGACTCAGGGATGAGTTTTCAGGAAGGAGCAAACCAAACAACTGAGCTGTTTACTCAGCAGCCTAATTCAGGAAGTCTGTTTTTACTGAAATCTCAGTTCCTGAAAGAAAACATCGTTTCGTTCTAATTAGTAAGACAGTGGGATAGATTAGCTTGCCAGGAGCATGGGCGATGGCTTCAGCATGATGACTCTTCTGCTGATGCTCAGCATTTAACTCCAGCTTCAGCAATTCCAGCACTGTCCTTTATTCATAGTCTGCAATTCCCACCCTCCTCACCCCCCTTTCTGGTTTTTAATCAAACTCCACAAGTGCTTAAGCTCATGCCAGGTACCCTCTGTTAGGTGAGGCCAGGTAGATGCTCCAGCTCCTGCTGGCCTGTGGAGTCCTTCAGTCATGGTCGGTGAGATAAGCAATACCACCAAGAGCCCTCACTAACCTGTACCAGTGTCCCAAACTGTGCCTCGACACCCCAGCACGCACTGCTCAGTGCTGTGGGTGAGCTCACAGGTGCTGTTAAAAGCAACACTTGGACAAAGCTGAAAGTAAAGAGAAACAAGTGAGTTTAGAACACAACTGCGAGACGTTACCTCTCGTATGTCTTCATTGCCTTCTTTGATATTCTCTGTTGCACCCACGACTAATTGATGGATATTGTCAATATCAGTTTCCTGTTAAAAATGAGAAACAGTGATGAATGCCAGGGGAACAACCACTTGCAAAGACTTGGGCAACAAGCAGAATTCTAAAATCTGGAATTACAGACACCTTAGTCTCAGAGATGCAAATGTACAGAGATAATTAACTTGTAATTTCTTTACCTGTGATTTTATGAGTCTGAACAGAGACCACCCAGACCGACAGGAAGTCTTCCCATTATCTAGAATCAGATTTAACCTGTCTAATTTTCACCAGCTCTTTTGGAAGAGGTGCCACTGTTTCCAGAAGAGATGCTATGAAATAACCCATTTAACCAGGACACTGGTTCTGAGGCAGAGGGGTCATTCTAACACATACATTGCATTTTCAATCCCCAGTACAGACTAGTAAGTAATGACAGTAAAAGTCTTGATTTTGCATTTGAAAATCAGAAATCTTTTCCTTCACATTTGCATCACAGATTAATAAATCTTCAGCTTGTATCTTGCATGAAGCCAAGACCAAAACACCCCCAATAAAACCCCCCAGCTGTACTTGCTGGTGTAGTATTATACTGACCTGTTGCAAGACTTTTTCAGTGAATATCTCTTGCAATCTGGAGATTTCCACCACTTTTCCTTCAATTTGTCTGGGCAAAGAACAGAAACACTCCATTAGACACTAGTGCAAACACTGCTTGCTCCTGCAGATGCAGGTTCTCCAACCTGGGACTGCGCTACTCAAAAGGCTTCCACAGCAACAGCCTGCCATGGGTGCTCTGACCCTGGAGACACCAACCCCCAACACCAGGAAACCAGCCTTGGAGAGGCTTCACCTGGAAGTTGCCAAGAGTGGCCTTCACTGTTGGGCTCCCGCTGTCCTCCATCTTTCATCTAACGTAACAAAATCCATGGTGGACCCTAAATAGTTCATTCTGACATAGCCTTTTTACGTGCTACTGTGAAGTGTGGAATTCACCTTTGCCTAGTACCAGTAATCCAAACTCCATTTCCATGTTATCCATTCAGGTTTTTTGTGCAGTACACAGCAAACTGCCCCACCACTGGGACAGTACCTGCCTGGGGGTGACTGTCCCTCCCTCTGCTGCGTGTGTGCAGTGCACAGCACGGTACGGATGGAGAACTTCATCTTCTGTAACTTAACTGAGACAGCATGTAAACCTTCCGAATTTAACCAGCACGTCTGGACAGTCTGTGTGTCACTCAGAACCACCTGCGGGACAGCACAACGTGTGAGCTCACAGGGCTGGTTTCCCGGGTGCCCCTGTTGTGTCCCTCCCCTACCACACCACTGCCATTCCCGCAGCCAGGCATCCTGCACCAGTACACCCGGTGCGGGGTTGTCCAGGTTGTGGGACTGTCACACGCAGCAAAAGTAACAGCAAATGTACCTGACTTCATCAAAGAGGTTATTCATTTCACCAACGAGCCTCTGGTTCTCCTGTTCGAACTGGAAGAAGGAAATCACACACATGAGCTCACGTTTGAACCCTCTTCAGCCCCCACCCCAGATCAACCAACCTCCACTCATCCTTGCAATCTGTTTGCAACACATCCCAACTGGAAAGATGTTCAGGAAGTACTAATAGTGGCCTAAACAAACAATATGAATCTGCTTGTTTGTAACCAGTCCCTGCAACACTTGTCATTCTCCTCCCCCCAGTGAAACAAACCCCAGATATAACTTGAAGATTTTGCTCACGTTACTTTGCAGGAAGGAAAATACAGTGAGTGAAATCTGTTCCTTGTCCTTGAGTAGGGAAAACCATTGAGTGCTTGTGAAAGCATGTGATGCTCTTCATAACATCTCTGCACTGTCCTTCATATTACTCATATATTGCCCA